CCCTCAGAGGACCTCAGATGATGCCAACTCTGAAACAACATACAGAACTACCACATTTTGCTATAAGTTTGATTGCATCATATAATAATTGCTGTTAATAGTGTTCATCGTCTGTTTGATTACGTCTTTAATTGATTTTTACTGTACATTTCTGCCATATGTACATCAATTTTACATAGTTACCACTGATAAGCTACTACTAAATATATTGTAGAAACTTAATTTTCTGTAAAGCTACTTTGCAACGATTTGTATCATGAAAAGCGCTATACAAATAAACTTGAATTGAATTGAATAAGAGCAGGTCATTTGTAACTCTAATGAGAGCAGTACTATGATATGGTTTAAATCCTGACGAGTGTTAATTCCGTCAGCTATTTCCAATTTTATTCTTAGTCTTAGTCCCGTGTTAAATGTCCTTGTTAGCTTTTATCATATTTAGTCAACCTTATCCTATTTAGTTTTAGTCAAGTTTTAGTTGACTAAGGCCCGGTTTCACAGACAGGGCTTAAGCCTAATCCCAGACTAAACTGCCCACTTGAGCTGTCTTAACTCAAAGCGACTTGCACAGACATATGTTAAAATAACCATAGATTTAGCCTGTTCTAGATTAAACAAAGCCGATTGCAAGAGGGAGAATTATAGCTAGTCTATGAATAAATTTAAGCTTAAATTAATCCTTCAAGGAGGCAGGTTTAACTCCTGCCTAGTACTGTTTGTGAAGGAGCATGGACTATTTGGAATATCTAAATGAAAACCAACATGCACAACGGAGGCCAGCCAGAGTACTTGTGGATAGGAGTGATCCATTACATTACTTTGATGACATAGCTTTTCAAGACCACTTTCGTATGTACAAAGAAAATGCATTGGAGATAATATCTTTGCTTGAATCTAGACTTTCCTGTCTGTCTCTCAGAGGAAGGCCTTTACCCAGTTCTCTCCAAGTTCTGCTCACATTGAGTTTTTTGGCATCTGGGACCTTTCATCGTGAAACTGGTGATTTGTGTGGTGCCAGTGAAGCAACTGTGTGTAGAATAGTTCACAAAGTCTGCAGAGCCATTTGTGAACTGAGGAGTCTTTACATAAAGTTTCCTGATGCTGCTGACCAAGCCAACTATAAAGTGCAATTCTATGAATATGGGCACTTCCCAGGTGTGATTGGCTGTATAGATTGATGTCATGTTCCCATCAAGTGTCCATCAACTCCTGGGGCCTCATTTATAAAATGTTGCGTATAAACCGTCCTAAATTTGTTCTAAGATAATTTCTCAAAAGTGCGTAAGTGCGATTCAGAGAAAACAAAGTTTAAGATCAAGGTAACCTTAGCCTAACATTCAAATATTATATCCAGTTATCTTTCACGATATAGCAAATATTTTCTGTGATAACTTAAAGACTAAATGCATGTGTTATACAAAAGCAGCCATGTCAAGTTGTGAAATGTGGGGCAGGTGAATTGTTTTCAGCAGTAAGTGTTCCTACTTCCAATTCTTTCTCTATATGGGTCCTTTTTGACCCATGTGTGTAAAACTGATGTAGAAATACAAAAGCAGTGTTTGTTTTTAAAAAGAAAAAAAAAAAAAAAAAAAAAAAATAAAAAAAAAAAAAAAAAAAAAAAAAAAAAAAAAAAAAGTGGAAATGAAAAACATTTAAAGACTCTGGTATAATAAACGATAGAAAAACATTTCAGAGATTCAGCAAAGAAACTCACCCATAACTGAAATAACATTGGGAATGAATACCAATTCTAAAAAAAACAAAAATAAGTCATTTTAGACCCATGGTGTGCATCAAAGGGTTAAAATCCATTCAGAATCTTTAAGATTCCGACAATGCATTTTGATGCGGCCACAAAACCATCACAAGAAACACGCCGCCCTCTAGTGGCTGCTGGGATATATTGGAGATCTAAATTAAAACATTTACTTCAATTATACATTTAACCAATACGAAGACTTGATTTGCAGAAACTGTATAAATTTAGTATTTCTGTAGTCAGTTTTACTAATACAAGTCAAATTGTTTAATAGAAGTGGGAGGGGGGGGGAACAAATAAAATATAAGTCATCCACTCAGATTCCAAACATCTTAATTCCAGACAACATTAAAGGTTCAATTTGAGTGTTACGTAGTCAATGATTTTTCGGAATTATAACGGATCTGCTACTGCACAAAAACCCTTACATCAGTTCAGGTTCTGCAAGTTTGGCACACTGAATTAAACTTAAATGAGATGCATGCCATTTTCCTAATTTAAAAATATAAGACCTATAAATAAATGTGAAAAATATTGTGCCAAAGTTGATACTTGCACACTCCCAGTTTAACCTGCTTTAATCGTACGCATTGACTTAAAACCATGCCAGAAGACAGTCAAAGCATATTGGGAAAAAAATAAATAAAGTTTGAAGCTTCCAACACAGAAAGAAATAAGTTCACAGCCTAAGCACGCAAAATATCGTGCTTCAAGGAAATGGGTGTTCAAGCAGAACTCTTGGCACAAACTCCATTTAATGGAATTCCCTTTACAGCATCATGGGCAATGTATTCCACCTTTAAAGTACTCTTCAAAGGGAGCTCACAGCAGGTCTTTAAAAGGTTCATATTAAATTTCCCTACAGTGAACAGGGAGCCTTTCCTTCTGGAAAGAGAACAGGTACAGTAGGACTTCCCACTTACAGCACACTCAAATCAAAGTTGGTCAAACTGGACAAGAAAACCCAGAAACAAGAATAGGTTTTTCCACCCCCATTTATTGAAAACCAGCTAAAGTCTTCTTTCGCTCTTGAACAATTACAGGACCGAGTGAGGCCTTGCCTTCCCACTGAATGCCTAGAGGGAAAAAACACGTTTCCACAAACACATTCCCATGTTAAGTACCACTTGTACCAAAAGCAATCTTGCAGCAGATGGAGCAGCATTTCCTCCATCAGGACCAGATGTTGAGTCACAGCAACCACAAACCTCGTGGTTCCCATCAGCAGCAAACCACCTGCAACAATAAATATCAGACACAGCACAATCAACGTTTTCTTAAGTAGCATGAACATACCCATTGGCAAAGGAACAAGATTTGCAGAGAGCATCACTGGGTGCAGAAGCAAGAGTAGCCTTCAGAATACACGTTATGTAGATCTGCAAGAGACACCACAGGTAAGAGGTCACAAACTGAAGCAGACAGGAAGAGAAAAAGCAAATTCACTCACAGTACGTACAGAAGGACTGTATCCTTCCTGGAACATGAAGGCCTCCAGCTGGAACTGGATCTTGTCTTCCTGGGTTCGAGGCATGAAGCGCGAGCTGGAAGCCGTAGCCTTGGCATCCACAAGGCACCTGATAAAGTGATGACAAAGAACTCCATGTCAACTCTACAACCTTATCATCAGGGTCAAAGTGGTTAAAGAACAGCTTGATGTCACCCGACTTACCCTAGTTCGGTGACAAAGTGCCTCCAAGGAGCAAACTCAAGAACAATTCAACTGTAACATTGTGATAGAACCTTACCCATGATTCTCAATGAACGAATATCCCGGAAGGGCATTCACATCAGGTACTTGGGTGGCCACGCAGTGGTCTACAAACACACGCAGCGGAACATGGTTGTACACCTTCACGGATGCCTCAATATTAATAACATCACCCAGGAAGTACAAGTGTGAAGGCCTCGGATAGGACCAATCATCTGCAAGAAGAACAGTTTAAGTACAGCCTCATTCACAATGCTTAAGGTCTAAAGAAACTGCACAAACCCATCATGAGCTTCAGGGAGAACAGCAAGACTTCCTCGTCAACCTCCGTTGAAGCATAAGGGACCCAAGTTGGCCTCAAGGCATTACTGCTCACATTGTGAGACCTGCGGTTCAAAGAGGCACCAAATAAACAGTCTTCCAGTTGAAACACTAGAAACAGTGCTAGAAGGCACATAAGGTCACTTACCTTTGATAGTGGCATTGAACACCAACAACAGCACCATCAGCACGAGTAATCGGAGTGCCAGCGAGCGCCTCAGGCGTGTAGGTAAGAGCAAAGGTGTAGACAAGCTCATCCTCAGTCATCTGTAAGAGATTTCAGTTGTTACAAAGTTTCTCCTAATCTACGCTCTTAAAAATAAGGTTCAAAAAGCTGTTTTAGCAGCCACCTTTGGTTCAAGGAACCTTTCAGTGATCAGTTCTTAAATGAAAAGTTTTCTATTATAAGGAATGGAAAGGTCCCATGGAAATTAGAAGGTTCAAAGAATTTACAGCAACAAAACAACCTAAATTTTTAATTTGTGTACAAATAACCCAGTAAGTTTTAAGTTCTTACCATCAACACACTGTTGCAGTCCTGCAGTTCATGCTCCAAGATGAGCACCCTAGAGTTTGAGTCCTCACCAACAACGGGACATCCTCCCAAAGACAATCCAGATGGCTGGATCAGTTGACCATTGCTAAATAAGTCCTGCTTTACTTCAACCAGAACCCGGTTCTCACCGCATTGAATAGCTACACTACCAGGAGTCACGGGTTGCCTCAACTGGAAGTCCACCGCCATCTCGCTCTGCACCACTGGAACAACAGGAAACCTCCAGTCCAAAGGCTTCACTGGACTCTGCAACACCTGCTTCTCCTGAAGACCAAGAGGCTCTTGTGCAAATCTTCTGGAGTCAAGACTCTGAAACGGAGAAGCCTTTTGCAAAGGGTTCCAGAACCCTTGAGAAGAAAGAGCAGGACCTCTGGAAGCTGGATCTGATTGTGGCTTCATGCTGCTTGGACTTTGACCATATCTCAAACTTCCCCATACATTCTTCAGGTCAAATGCCACAATCAAACCCAGCACTAACAAACCTTGCAGGAGACCCATCCTAACTAACTCTCTTTGCAATGATTTGTATCGTGAAAAGCGCTTTACAAATAAACTTGACTTGACTTAAAAAGGTCATCCACTGAGATTCCAGACAACATTAAGGTTCAATTTGAGTGTTACGTAGTCAATGATTTTTCGGAATTATAACGGATCTGCTACTGCACAAAAACCCTTACATCAGTTCAGGTCCTGCAAGTTTGGCACACTAAATATTAAACTGAGCTTAAATTAGATGCATGCCATTTTCCTAATTTAAAATATAAGACCTATAAATAACCCACTTGAAGGTGGAAAATTCCAAAAGTAGAAAATGTTGTGCCAATGTTGATACTTGCAGGTTGAAAACTGGGAGTGTGCTTCTTTGATTTATAAGCATGCCAGAAGACAGTTAAATTTGTTTCCCAATATGCCTTGTTGACCATCAAAACCCTTGTCTTCCAGGCCAACTCGTACCACCTCTTCTGCCCCTTGGCTCTCTGATGTTCTCCGTGAGTATCGTTCTAAGCTCAGAGCTGCAGAAAGAGTATGGCACAAATCACAAAATCCTACTGACCTTAAATGTATATCGTACCCACTGCTAAAAGGACATACTATCACAACAAAATTAACAATTCGCCTAACTCTCGCATGCTCTTTAAAACATTTTCCTCCCTCCCTTGTCCTCCTCCATCAACTCTAACAGCTGACGACTTTGAGGTTTGTAATTTTATTAATGAAGAATGTGGCAGTGCACAATCTGCCACACCACAAACTTCCAAACACATTTTACCAGCAAACATACACTCGTTTTCATCCTTTTCTCCACTCTGAGGCAGAAGTCTCTAAACTCATCCTTTCCAATAATCCATCTACTTGTCCGCTTGATCCTATTCCATCTCATCTCCTTCAAGCCATTTCTCCTGCCATTGAACCTGCACTCACACCATTAACGCATTCCTTCACACTGGTGTTTTTCCAACATTTAAACAGGCTCGTATAACCCCACTTCTTAAGAAACCCACTTTTAACTCTTTGAGAACTACAGACCGGTTTCCCTTCTACCTTTCATTGCAAAAAAACAAAAAAAAAAACACTTGAACGAGTTGTTCAACCAAGTCTCTGATCCGACGATAGCTGCTCGCATCTCAGCTTGTCTAACACACATTTCTTGTTGGATGACGGACATCACCGTCAACTCAACCTGGCTAAGACAGAACTGCTTATGGTTTCAACAAACCCATCACTTTATCAATTTCGCCATCCAGTTAGGCTCAACCATAACTCCTTCAAAAACAGCTAGAAACCTTGGAGTTGATCGATAAGCTGAATTTCTCAGACCACATTGCTAAAACTGCCTGGTCCTGCAGATATGCTATTATACACACACACGCATCATTAGGAAGATCAGGCCCTTTCTTTCAGAACATACAACTCCTTGTTCAAGCTCTTTCTATCCAGGCTGGACTACTGCAATGCTCTTGGCAGGTCTTCCAGCCACTTCTATCAAACCTCTACAATTAATCCAAAATGCCGCTGAAAGATTACTCTTTGAGCCAGAAAGAACGCACATCACACCTCGGTTCATCAATTTGCACTGGCTACCAGTAGCTGCTCGCATAAAATTCAAGGCATTAACGTTTGCTACAAAACCACCACTGGCTCTGCACCCCTTTACCTAAATTACTTCAGAGTCATGTTCCCTCTAGAAGCATGCGTTCTGCAAGTGAACGACGCATTGTGGTGCCATCTCAGAGAGGTACAAAATCACTTTCACAGACTTTCATTAACTGTTGCCTCCTGGTGGAACGACCTGCCCAACGCAATCCAAGCAGCTGAGTCCTTAGTCACTTTCAAGAAATGACTAACACATCTGTTCCATCTTTGTTTGACCCTTTAACTCTAGCACTTTCGAGTCAATTTGAATTCTACTTTTTTTTTTTTTAAAGCTACGTGTATTGCCTTAAGTGCAAATGACAAGTGTCGGTTAGCCTGTTGTTGCTATTTTGTTAGTTTTGATTGCTTCTATTGTCCTCATTTGTAAGTCGCTTTGTATAAAAAGCGTCTGCTAAATGACTAAAAGTGTATTTGGGAGTGCAAGGAGAAATGAAACTGCTCATTTGAAGTAAACACATAGAAAGAGATAAGTTCACTGCATAAGATGCACGCAAAATATCTGCACTGCTTCAAGGAAGTGGGTGTTGAATCAGAACTCTTGGCACCGACTCCAATTAAATGGAATTCCCTTTACAGCGTCAGGGCAATGTATTCCACCTTTAAAGTAATCTTCAATGGGAGCTCACAGCAGGTCTCTTTAAAAGGTTCATATTATTTCCCTACCGAGAAATGGGAGCCTTTCCTTCTGGAAAGAGAACGGGTACAGTAGGACTACCCACTTACAGCACACTCAAATCAAAATTGGTTAAACTAGGCAAGAAAAACCAGAAGCAAGAATAGGCTTTTCCACCCCCGTTTATTGAAAACCAGCTAAAGTCTTCCGTCGCTCTTGAACCATTACAGGACCGAGTGAGGCCTTGCCTTCCCACTGAACGCCTAGAGGAAAACAAAACAAACAAAAAAAAAAAAAAAATTTCCACAAACACAGACCAAATTCCCAGGTTAAGTACCACTTCTTGTGCCAAAAGCAATCTTGTAGCAGCTGCCTACCTCCAAAAGGAGAAGCAGCAATTCCACCATCAGGACCACATGTTGAGTCACAGCAACCACAAACCTGGTGGTTCCCATCAGCAGCAAACCACCTGCAACAATAAATATCAGACACGGCACATTCAACGTTTTCTTAAGTAGCATGAACATACCCATTGGCAAAGGAACAAGATTTGCGGAGAGTATCACTAGGTGCAGAAGCGGCCTTCAGAATACACGTTATGTAGATCTGCAAGAGACACCACAGGAAACAAGTCACAAACTGAAGACAGGAAGAGAAAATCAAATTCAACAGTACGTACAGAAGGACTGTATCCTTCCTGGAACATGAAGGCCTCCAGCTGGAACTGGATCTTGTCTTCCTGGGATCGAGGCATGAAGCCCGAGCTGGAAGCCGTAGCTTTGGCATCCACAAGGCACCTGATAAAGACGACAAAGAACTCCATGGCAATGCCACTTCATGTCAGCTGACTTGCCCTAGTTCTGACAAAGTGGTTCCAGGGAGCAAACTCAAGAACAACTTAACATAGTGATAGAACCTTACCCATGATTCTCAATGAACGAATATCTCAGAAGAGCATTCACATCAGGTACTTGGGTAGCCACACAGTGGTCCGCAAACACACGCAGCGGAACATGGTTGTACACCTTCACGGATGCCTCAATATTAATAACATCACCCTGGAAGTACAAGTGTGAAGGCCTCGGATAGGACCAATCATCTGCAAGAAGAACGGATTAAGCTTAAGTAGCATGAACATACCCATTGGCAAAGGAACAGGATTTGCGGAGAGTGTCACTGGGTGCAGAAGCAAGAGTGGCCTTCAGAATACACGTTATGTAGATCTGCAAGAGACACCACAGGTACAAGGTCAAACTGAAGCAGACAGGAAGAGAAAAAGCTAATTCACTCACAGTACATACAGAAGGACTGTACCCTTCCTGGAACATAAAGGCCTCCAGCTGGAACTGGATCTGGTCTTCCTGGGATCGAGGCATGAAGCACGAGCTGGAAGCCGTAGCCTTGCCATCCACAAGGCACCTGATAAAGACTACAAAGAACTCCATGGCAATGCCACTTCATGTCAGCTGACTTGCCCTAGTTCTGACAAAGTGGTTCCAGGGAGCAAACTCAAGAACAACTTAACATAGTGATAGAACCTTACCCATGATTCTCAGCTTCAGGGAGAACAGCAAGACTTCCTCGCCAACCTCCGTTGAAGCATAAGGGACCCAAGTTGGCCTCAAGGCATTACTGCTCACATTATGAGACCTGCGGTTCAAAGAGGCACCAAATAAACGGTCTTCCAGTTGAAACACTAGAAAGTGCTGGAAGTCACATAAGGTCAGATAGTTTTGATAATGGCATTGAACACCAACAACAGCACGAGTAATCGGAGTGCCAGCGAGCACCTCAGGAGTGTAGGTAAGAGCAAAGTTGTAGACAAGCGCATCCTCAGTCATCTGTAAGAGATTTCAGTTACAAAGTTCCTCCTAATCTACGCTCTTAAAAATAAAAAAGGTTCAAAGAGATGTTTTAGCAGCCACTTTTGGTTCAAGGAACCTTTCAGTGATCAGTTCTTAAATGAAAAGTCTGCCATTATAAGGAATGGAAAAGTCCCATGGAAATTAAAGGTTCAAGGAATAATGGACACCAACAAAAGAACTTTTATTTTTATTGGTGTACAAAATCCAGTAAGATTTAAGTTCTTACCATCAACACACTGTTGCAGTCTATGCTCCAAGATGAGCACCCTAGAGTTGGAGTCCTCACCAACAACGGGACATCCTCCCAAAGACAATCCAGATGGCTGGATCAGTTGACCATTGCTAAATAAGTCCTGCTTTACCTCAACCAGAACCCGGTTCTCACCACATTGAATAGCTACACTACCGGGAGTCACGGGTTGCCTCAACTGGAAGTCCACCGCCATCTCGCTCTGCACCTCTGGAACAACAGGAAACCTCCAGTCCAAAGGCTTCACTGGACCCTGCAACACCTGCTTCTCCTGAAGACCAAGAGGCTCTTGCACAAATCTTCTGGAGTCAAGACTCTGAAACGGAGAACCCTTGAGAAGAAAGAGCAGGACCTCCGGAAACTGGATCTGATTGTGGCTTCATGCTGCTTGGACTTTGACCGTATCTCAAACTTCCCCATGCATTCTTCAGGTCAAATGCCACAATCACACCCAGCACTATCAAAGCTTGCAGGAGACCCATCCTAACAAACTCAGACACACTATCCCAGTGCACATCAGTGTTAGCTTTGCTATTTAGTACAGCTTTGAATTAAGGTGGCTCCTCCCCTTTAAGCTTAATTGATTAACTTTGATTCTCCTCTGGACCTGTAGAGTTTATGTATTACCAACTGAGAACGGTCAAGATCACAAATCAATAGAAAGCTTGATATGGATCTGAGATTTTAATCTTCATTTGCTCACGATTTTACAATTAAGAAACTCTGACAGTTTGTCCATTATAGAAAGTTAATGCCATCTAAAAAAGTATCCTAGTTCATAAAAATTATTCATTAATTATCTATTTTTAAGAGTTTTTAGTTTAGCATAATCACTTGTTTAATGGTAATGCCATATACATAAATACAATTTGATGCAACAGTGAATTATACTCATATAAATGAGTAGAAAGCAAAATATCAATAAATTATCAAAATGGGAGGGACTAAGCAGCGCAGATGTCATCTCCAATTGGTCAGGTACAATAGGTCAGGTACTAAACGTTATCGTCCCATTTTTAGTCTTCATTGTGTATTTTTAATTTAATGGATGTGTAATAATTGCACTTTAGTGTACTTCTGATTCAATCCCTGTAATGTCTGGAGATTCCACAATGAGAGAGATTCATCAATATATTGCAAAAACATTTTAGATATATTAAGAAACTATAAATATTTTAGAAATATTAAGTCTCAACATCATTTATTGACTGATACTGTTTAAGAAATACTGTACTTTACTGTAATTCTCTTAACCCTTTGATGCACAAGCTATGAAAACCCCTTCTAATGCACAACATGTGTCTAAAATGACCCGTATTCATTTCCTATGTTATTTCATACTTCGCTGGGCATTTTTTTTTTGCTTTATCTTTTGAAATTAGTTTATTTCAGCATTTAATATTCCCTGTTCTATAAATTCCATGATCCGTGAATATTCAAAATATCTTTTTACAATGACCATAAATTAATATTTTATATTTTCCTAGGTTTTTTGCAACTACATCAAGTTTACACACATGGGTCAATAATGACCCATCTATGCAAGCATGATAAAACAAAAGAATAAAGACATTTTGTTAAAATATTTATTTTTGCAGTTATTTAGACCAACACATTTAACACTTGAAATATGTTTATTTGCCCCTTTGTCACACATAACATACACATAACACTGATAACCGATAACACTGAAATTGAACTGTCTGTAGTGCAACTGTAGTGAATTGTAGTGAATGTGACCGAATAGATGAAAATAAAACTAACAAAATAAAATCACACAGGTACAGCACCATCTCAAACTGCCATCTCAGTGCTTACATGCCTCACAAATGACAACTACAGGTTTGTGCTCCTTGCAAACAGGCCGCCCCTGGCGTAGGCAATGAGGGTGGCAACATCCAGCACATTGTACCACAGCACCACGGGCCACCTCCATGTTCTCTGCTTACATGAGTAGGTGCAAACCATTTTTACTCAATCTATTGGCCCAAAACCATTACATTTCAGGAACACGGACAGACATAAAGGGTGACCAATAGCACTGATTTATGTGATGAAATGATGAAATGTGGAGATACAAGGTTTCCACCTGACAGCAATGATATTTGTAGAAATATTGTGGAAATCAAAAACAAGATATTTAATGAATACCTGGAATTAAAAAAAAAATGATAAAATGCATTTCTTTCAAAGATTCAGCAAAGAATCACTCAGGCATGATTGAAATAACATAGGAAATTAATACGGGTTATTTTAGACCCATGTGTGTAAAACTGATGTAGAAATACAAAAATGTGTTTGTTTATAAAGTAAGGAAGGAAAAAACAAAATTATTTGTTTAATTCAAAAACAACATATTTAAAGACTATCTGGAATAATAAATGATAGAAAAACATTTATTTCAGAGATTCAGCAAAGAAACACTCATCCATAACTGAAATTACATAGGAAATGAATACGGGTCACTTTAGACCCATGTTGTGCATCAAAGGGTTAAAATCCATTCATAATCTTTAAGATTGTCGGAATAATGCATTTTGATGCGGCCACAAAACCATCACATGAAACATGCTTCAACTTCGCGCTGTGGATCGCCGGATCGGCTTTCACCGTGGACGAAGCGGAGTCCAGCCCGGGGTCGTCACATGTGTTTGCCGCAAGCCCGCCGGCCGCTCCTTCGTCGAATCCGCCGGCCGTTCCTCACTCAAGCCCGCCATGTGTGATGCTGTGTGTTTCGTTGTGAAAGCGAAACTACTTTGTTTGGCCTTCCAAAAGAGGACACAACTACAAATCAGTGGTTAAGTTGTATTTACAACACTGTTCCAGAACAGTTCAACCCACATATTCAGATGTGTGCAGCGCATTTTATGGAGGACTGTTTCCTGAACCTGCAGAGTAGCCTACAATGCGTCTGTGCACAAAGGCTGTTTCTATAAAGTGGGGCAGTTCCAACTTTGCAAGGACAGTCTGGCGCTTCATGACTCACAGCCTGCAAGTACGTTTTTTTATGTTTAAAGAATTTGCCACTGACGATTCAAATGCGAGTTTTGAGCAGGGACGCACGGCCTCACAGTATGGTAAGGGGTGTAACATTTCCGTCACACACTTGAGGTATTCTGCCAATCACAACGCACTCGATAGCTGGCCAATCAGCGTACACCTCGCTTTTCAGAACAATGAGCTTTGTATAAACTGACGTTTTTCAGAAAAGCGGGGCATAGAAGAGTAACAATAGCGTAGATTGTGGAAAATTATGTTTTTTTAACCTTAAACACATTGCATTACACCAAATACACAACATAATGGTCTTTTTAGCAACATCATATGACCCCTTTTAAATTATACATTTAACCAATAAAACTTGATTTGCAGAATCAGCATAGTATTTAGTATTTAGTATTTATGTGTAGTCACATTTTTACCAACACAAGAATTGTCAAAAATTGTTTAACATACAAGTATAAGTATTAAAATGACAAACTAAAATAAATGAAAAAAAGCTAAGCAATAAAAGTTTATAAAAAAAAATAGTGCCAATCAAATAAATAAGTTAAATTAAGAAACCGAATATATAAAAATCAAAGCTAATTACAAACAGAGTCAATGGTCCTAAACTCAAAGTAATGATATTAATATTGAAACTGTACTAGAAACAAAATGCCCAAGAAGTTGCACAAGTGACAAACCTACAGTTTTTAAAAAGGTCATCCACTGAGACTCCAAACATTCCAGATAACATTAAAGGTTCAATTTGAGTGATTAGTCAATGATTTTTCAGAATTATAACTGATCTGCTACTGCACAAAAACCCTTACATCAGTTCAGGTTCTTCAAGGTTGGCACACTAAATATTAAACTGCACTTACAAATGAGATGCATGCCATTTTCCTAATTTAAAATATAAGACCTGTAAATAACCCATTTGGAGGTGGAAAATTCCAAGTGTGGAAAAATGTGCCAACGTTGATACGTGCAGGTTGAAAGCTGGGAGTGTGCTTTTATTGTACGCATGGACAGGGCCGTTTCTAGGCGGTCGTCTACAGTGCCACCAGCTGAAGGGGCGCCAATGAGCGCACGTACTGACACCTTTAACAGGGTTGTGATAAAGAGTGGCACGGTCACCCTGAAATATGACTGCCGCCCCCACTGGATCCCCCAACATTATTGGGCTAGAGTACTGTCAATCTGACGATGCCTGTATGCCACTGGATCAGAGTGCTGTCAATTGCTGCGTGATTGTTGCATGCAAAGTTTGCATTTGGAGCGCTCAACCATGCCATTAGATCAGTGAGCTCGGTCAGTGCTTTGGCAAGGTAAATTTTTTTTTTGCCATGCAATAAAGCGGAGTTCAAAGGCCAATTTAAAATATTGGTACAGTAAATAAAGTGCACAAAATCAGTATTTTGTTTAGGCAGTATTTGTGGCACTTTTGTGG